CACGTGGTTGCCATGTACCACGTGCGTGGGGGGCGCCTATATAAACGGATGCGCGAGCAGAAATCGGGGAATGCTCCTTCGATGCCAGACGCGACCGCTTGTACCTTGTAACAGTGCAGTGTTGAATCCAAATTAAACAACTAGTCATGGTATATATTCTTTGACTTGTCTCTCTCTATGTCTTTTGGCTACACATACGACATCATTATCTACAACTGTATCGTAGTGACAAACAAGTTGCTACACATGAAGCACAGTATACCTTAATGTATTGGGCCATACCAACCCAATAACACCTACTCCGAAAAACACTGAAACAACGGTCTGACCCCTGATGACCCATTTCGTCATGTACTTAATTGTTTCAAAACTTCCACTTTTAATACTTCTGGTAGCAATGCTTGCTTAACAATGTCACCACCCTCTCTACACAGTCGATAAAACACTCCCTCTTCCCAAGTGAGTTGATCATTCCTTCTCATGAGTTTTCGTACACCACGATTCTCCTTCCGTAGCCTAGCCTTCGTAACAGGTCTGAGCGACCACAGCCGTACGATTTGCCCGATGCAAGGGTTATCTGCCTGTAAAACTAACATTTTCTCTGGTGATCTCGCTTGCGGAGACAATGGGGTCACTGGTGGTATCTTCCGAAGTGATGCCTTCATTTGATCCATCCATACACTCTGAACAACATTCTGGAGTTGGATTTTTACGTCTTTAGGCACTGCTAAGGTTTCCAAAGAAGCAGTTTCTTGAGTGTGAGACGTCTTCCGACTTAATGAGTCTGCTACCTTGTTGACACGGCCAGATCGGTGTTTGATAACAAGAGTGTAATTTGCCAACTCTGCAACGCATCTAAGTTCCGTGGCTCCCAGCTTTGCTGTCGTTGACGGGATGTACGTAAGTGGGTCATTGTCAGTATAGACCAAACATTCAGTTCCCAACAACAGATCCTTGTACCTTTCGGTGACAGCCCATTTTAAGTCCAAAAGTTCCAGTTTACGACAACTGTAGTTGCTCGTGTTCTTCTCACTTTCTCGGAGAGCTCTGCTAGCATATCCCAGAACAAGACGTTTACCTTCCTGTTCTTGAGAGAGAACGGCGCCCAATCCTAGATTTCTGGCAGCTACCTCCAAGATGTAAGGTTTTGTGAAATCAGGGTAACCCAATAGCTAGGGGAGTGCCTGTCAGCTTCTTCTTGAGCTCAGTAAAAGCTCTGTCACAAGTAGAGTCCCATGCGCCAATACCTGGGGCAACACACACTGCCTGACGACGTTTCTTCTTCTTTGGTTCCTTCAACAATGCGTGTAGGGGTGCAGCCGTCTTAGCAAAATCAGGCACAAAGCGGCGGTAATACCCGGCCAAACCGAGAAATCCTCTCAACTCGGTCTCAGTTTTAGGAGTTGGCCACACCTTCACAGCTGATACTTTCTCAGCGTCCTGTCTTATACCACCTGATGAGACAGTGTGCCCAAGATATCCAAGTTTAGTCTTAAACAGTTAACATTTCTCGGGTTTTACTTTTAAATTTGCTTTAGACAACCTTGTGAGCACCATCTCCAGACGCTCTACCGTCTACTCAAAAGTTCTCCCAAAAATTAGGATATCGTCCAAATAGATGAGGATTGTTTGAAAGTTTTGGTCTCCGAGCAACTTATCTATTAATCTCATGA